ACGGCTGGGACGAACTCTCAGTCGGATCTTATTACCTCTTGAGGGTATCGACTGAGCAGGTCGGTTTGGGATAATGTCATCGACTCCATTGGGAAATCCTTTGATAGATCATGTGCCGCTGGCTTCAAAGCCAGGGTAGAAGCCATATGGAGGGTTCTGGAGCATACTTACTCCAATGCCGTTGTGAGAGACAAGCTTAAGACTCAGTGGAAACAGCTGAGACGTAATCCAGCCGAGTCGTGCCGAGATTTCATCAGCCGTGTTCAGAACGCCCGAAAGGAGCTACAATATTCAGGAGCGCTGGTTGAAGACTCTGACGAAATCAGTATCTGGCGTAATGGTCTCTTTGGACCCTACAATGATTGGGTGGGCCAGTACCTCGCAGTCGCAGCTGTTGAAGGACACCCATACGGCCCTCGATCTATTCAGCAGTTGAGAGCTGAGATTCAGATCCGAGGCGATGAGTACGAGGATCGACACGGGATAGTGGCAGTCCCATCGACCTCCACGTCACTTTCTGCAGGTCCACCAGGGTCGTCCGAACAAGGAGGCCTATACACAGCCACTCAGCAGCAAAGTCAAACTCGTCAGGATCAACCTATCAGCAAACCCACAGGGTCAGGTCGTAATAATCCTCAGAACCGACACGAATGTCTCTCCCACAGGTGCCAACGATGCTATGCCGAGGATCATACGGTAGCAGAATGCAAAGCCGCCAAACCAGCCAAATGTGAGAGCAGGTGTCGACACTGTGGATTATCCCATGAGTATATCCCTGGTTGGGATCCGAAAAATTCCAGATGCAGCAATCGTTTCGTCGCCACATCGACTTGTCGGTTGTGTTCGAAAATAGGGCACTTTGCTAGAATTTGCATGAAGGGGCGCTCAAATTGTACATCGAATGATAAGACAGCACTTGATGGTAAGGTACAAGACACAAAAGCACAAGCTATAGATAAGGATGCCGGACAAGCTCTGGCAGTCTCGTTACCGAATGATCAGACAGCTGGCATTCGCTACGTCACCCTAATATTCCGGAGTCCCGGCTCCGGAGAGATCAGGCTTCGGGCCATGATAGACTCAGGGAGTAGCGAATCATTCCTCTCTCGCCAGAAGTATGACGAGCTGAGGCAAGCAGGCATAATTGATCAGATCTCGTCTCAGGGCAAAGGGATGCCTGTCGAATTCGGTAATGGAGGCGTTTCCACACTTATAGGTCGAGCTAAATCGAAGAACTGCTATCTTGAAGATGGCACTTATCTTCCCATTGAGTGGGGGATACTCGAAACCCTCAGTCCATGCTCTGCTGTCTTGAGCATGAAGCCACTGCGCGAACGAGGCGCGGTGTGGATCATATCTCGAAGCGGGGATAGACTTTACGTTGGTCAAGATAAAAATCTCCTTCCCTCATCATCAGCCGTATATGCTCCGGGCATGCACACGAGTCGTGCGATCATGAATGTCATCACAACGGCCCCTCCACAAACCTTGCTAGATGAACTATCCGGC